TATACTTATGTATGTATATCCTTCTTTCGCTGTCTCCCTCCCTCCCCGCGTCCCACCCTCCACCTCTGATGGTTACCTTCCTCCTCCTCCTCCTCCTCCTCCTCCTTCTCATCCTCATCCGCCTGACCTATCCCTCTATACATCACTCTGCCGTGTCGGATCCCCAGAGTTCATCATGGAAAAGGAAGGCTTTCAAAAGCGTGCTCTCGTCCAAGCGCCGCGCACCTCAGTTACAACATTCAAAAACTCGCTTGACGTATGGCGGGCGGCTTCTTTTCCTACCGGGGCTCTCGCCGCAGCGCCGCCAACGCTCGTCTCGACATCCTGGAGCAGCTTCGGGGGCTGAGCACTGGTCGCTATCAGTACGGGGTTCTGCCCTTCCTGGCGCGCGCCTTCGATTTCTGACGTAATGTTCAAAGGACAGAATCAAAGGACAGGAGGCGACTATCTGCATGAATTGAGCTCACCCCTGAGACTTCCCTAGCACCCCCGGGATTCCGAAGCGCGTAGCGCTACACGGATCAACGACGGCTAACTCAAAGCGTGGAACTGCCGCTCGAGACCTCATCGAACTGCATGGCGGCGAGTGTGAACCTGTGCAACAGATCCACGGGTGGAAGAGGGGGGCGGTCCTTCTCCGGAAAGGGAGCATCGCTGGACACGCCGTTGAACAACGCTGTATGATCAGTGTCTTTCGTATTCCCGGTTGCGCACCAGTCATATGCACGGCAGTTCATTTTCAAAGCGGGGCCAACGCAGAAATGTCAGGCTCATCTGAGTTGGTCGTTCACGGGGGGTTAAGGGGACGACTTGGGACGGGGGGGGAGTGTAATGCAGGGCCGTGGATGCATCTTTGATTTACTCTGGTCCTCCTCCTCCATCATCCAAAGAACCTGGTGACGCCCAGGGCCACACACAGAAACATACACAAGTTCCAGGACTCCCAAATTTCTGTGTATAAATAAATGTATACTAGAACCACGCGCGCGCTTCGCGCGCGCTTAGGTTCTGTCGAGTCACAGACCCAGGAACCGTTGTGAGAAGAAATTGGTGACGCGAAGCGTCGTGGGGGCGTCCTTGGACGTCTGGGGTCTCCTGGGGCCTCTTGAGGGGCCTCCTGGGGGCCTCCTGGCGGCCTCTTGGGGCGGAAGGCTCGAGCTTGCGGTTCGTGGTCCCCCTCTGGGCCCCCTCTTGGGCCCGTCTTGGGGCCCTCTTGGGCCATCTTGGGCGCCTCTTGGGCCGTCTTGGGGCCCTCTTGGGCTGTCCTTGGGCCTCCTTTGGGCCTCTTGGGGGTCTCCTGGGGCCTCTTGAGGGGCCTCCTGATGGCCTCCTGGCGGCCTCTTGGGGCGGAAGGCTCGAGCTTGCGGTTCGTGGTCCCCCTCTGGGCCCCCTCTTGGGCCCGTCTTGGGGCCCTCTTGGGCCATCTTGGGCGCCTCTTGGGCCGTCTTGGGGCCCTCTTGGGCTGTCCTGGGGCCCTCTTGGAAGCTTCTTGGGCCGTCTTGGGGCGGTCTTGGGCGCCTCTTGGGCCGTCCTGTAACGTCGGAAAGCCCAAAAGGCGACTTTGTTGAAAATGTACGTTTTACGAAGGGAATGGGCCAATTTTTTGCGTCTAGGGGCCCTCTTGGGACGCATGTTGGAGGCTTCTTGGGGCCTCTTGGGGGCGTCCTTGGACGTCTGGGGTCTCCTGGGGCCTCTTGAGGGGCCTCCTGGGGGCCTCCTGGCGGCCTCTTGGGGCGGAAGGCTCGAGCTTGCGGTTCGTGGTCCCCCTCTGGGCCCCCTCTTGGGCCCGTCTTGGGGCCCTCTTGGGCCATCTTGGGCGCCTCTTGGGCCGTCTTGGGGCCCTCTTGGGCTGTCCTGGGGCCCTCTGGGAAGCTTCTTGGGCCGTCTTGGGGCGGTCTTGGGCGCCTCTTGGGCCGTCCTGTAACGTCGGAAAGCCCAAAAGGCGACTTTGTTAAAAATGTACGTTTTACGAAGGGAATGGGCCAATTTTGCGTCTAGGGGCCCTCTTGGGACGCATGTTGGAGGCTTCTTGGGGCCTCTTGGGGGCTCCTTGGACGTCTGGAGGCCATCTTCAGCATCTCGGAGCCCTCTTGGAGGCCTCTTGGAAGTTTCTTGGGCCGTCTTGGGCGCTTCTTGGGCCGTCTTGTCTGACTGGGGAGGCCTCCGGCAAGCCCCGACGAGCCTCCGGGCCCCCCGGGGCGCACATTTGTGGTCGAGGTCCCGGCCCCGGGCCCCCGGACCCGGTGCGCCGTTATATGTTAATATATATATATATATATATATATATATATATATATGTTTTGGATTTTCCTGGGCCCCTTCGCTTTCCAAATTTTCCCCTGGGGATCGGCGTTTGTCTGTGTCTGGGCCTGTTTACCCCCCCCCCCCCTCCGAGAACTTGAGTCCTGAGGGAGGCAGGTCCTCTGGACCCCAGGGCTCCCCCCACCACCGGGACCGATTCCTCCTTCCGAGGCTGCCCGACAGCCCAAAGGGCCAAGGC